GAGAAGATTTTAAATATAAATGTCTATAAAGATGTTCTCATTTAATTATCAGGTTTAAAAAAAAAAATGGAAAAAGGACCAGTAAAAGACCAGGGGCAGCTGTGACATATTTTGGGGGTTGAGATTGTTATGCAGATGACAACAACCAAGCAGACCTAGGATGGTGAATTTTCAGATGAAAAAATCCTTGCATCCCTACGTRCATTTTGAGTGAGTAACGCTGCGATTCCCGAGGCCGTTTGCGGGAGCTGCTGCCTGCGGGAGCCGCCGTTTCGGGGCCCGCTGAGGCTGTTGCCTACCTCGCGGGGCATTCGCAGGGCTCGGCGCGGATTGCCTGCAGGAGCGAGCGGGCAGCTCGCCGCTTTATCTGATCCACGGTCGGCAAGAGGAGCACATTGCTGGACTGCCCTTGGCACTCGCCAGCCGCAGCATCTGCAGGCTGCTCCACCCCATTTTTCTGCTGCCTACACTCCAGGGACAAATGGAAAAAACAAACTCCTACGCTATACTACCACGCAGAGGGAAAGGGGGAGAAATTCGTATAATCTCCCCCAATATAGAGGGAGCAATTAGTTCCCCCTAAATGCAACGTATTTAGGAATAAAACAATTGCAACCATGTAAATCAAAAATGTAAAATTACGACAAAAAAAAAAAAAAAAAAAAGACTAAATCATTTGCATTGAACTACCATGGTCAGTTATGAATATTATAGTTGAGAATTAGTAATTTTACACCAAAAGCATCATTCTCTTCTAAAGGGCTTAAGGCTTTTCCTACCATTCTTGTTATCCAGGAGAAAATTATAAATAAGGCTTTAAGGACAGCCTTTGACATTCTAGGTTTTTGTTTTTACTGATATCTTTCTTCAAAAGAAAATAAAAACCAAATATGCTTATGTGAGTTCACTAATCATGTAGCTCAGAGAAGCATAATATCCAAATTTGATTAAGAAAAAAAAAAAAAGATGGCCCACTGAACATCAATGCAACCTATCAAGATGTACAGTTCCTTTACCAGCTGGGATGGAAATAAATTACTTCATGTGAATAACACAACCTGCTACCCTGTTTCAAGTATTTTATGCTGCTTAATGACTCCATTATCACAGTTATGGATTCTGCACACAATGCAGCAGGAAGCTCCCTGTTTTCAACCTCTTTGTTCATTATTTTACGTGCACAATTTATAAATGACAACAGATGAAGATTTCATGGAAATAGCAACAGACTAATTGCATTTAAATGCATGAAGGCACACAGAGCGATTTAATATCTGTTTTGAACATAGGTGAAAAACCCGATTAAGGCCTTTTAGACAACGTAGCCATCAGAATCTTCTGGCACTTGTCTGAAAACAAAAAGCTCAACAGAATTTCCCCAGAACGATACAGAACCATTCCAGGCTGTGTTTTTCTAACGTGTTCATTCGCCATCTCCAGACAACCACCGTTCAGACCCTGTTTAAATATGCATGAGAGGCTGCTCCGCAGTCACGTACATTTTGAAGACTGGGAAAAGCAGGTATTTTAACACGAAGAAAAATGTTAAAAACCCCGATCTGAGAACGCAGATCATCTGAAAAAGGTCCAGTGTCAATGCTTGGTGGGTCGTTTTGCCTCCAATCCCAGAGAACGCTCACCTCTGTGCTATGTATTTGTGACCTACCGACTGAGATTTGCTCCATTTTGGCCACGTTAAGCTCTACAGGGGCAATAAACAAGAAAAAATCATATGCRCCCTCGGTGCCTTTTGGTTCATGCTGCAGAGGGCTGGTCCTGGGGGAGCAGGAGCCGCTTCCTTCAGGAAGGACCCTCTCTACAGAGGCACACGGGGGTGTGKGGGGGCGATCTGGGCATCTCTCGCCGCTCTCCCGCGGCTCCGCGGGAGCCGTTTCCGCGCCCGCCTCCCGGGGCGAGCTCCCCCGGCGTCCCCGGTGCCTCCTCGGCGGCATCTCCTGCCCTGGGGCAGGGCTGCGGCGGCGCCGGAGGCCATTGCAGCGCGGCGGCGGCGGGCTTTTACCTCAGGAGGGAGGCAGCGCCTCGGGGAGCGGGAGTGGGGGGGGCGAGCCCGGGGCTCCCTCCGCGCTCCCCCCGCCCGCTCGTGGCCTCCCCGGGGCGCTCAATGAAATTCCAGGCGCAGCCCCGAGCTGCCCAGGGCGGAGCCGCCCGCCCCTCCCCCCCTTCCTCACAGGGCGCCGGAGGCCGCCCGCGATAAGA